CACACACACACACACACACACACACACACACACACACACACACACAAACTTCCCACTCCACAAGAAAAGTAAGAAGGAAAAAAAGGGAAAGAAATATCTTCTCCCTCCCTCCCTCCCTCTCTCTCTCTCACACACACACACACACACACACACACACACACACACACACACACACACACACACACACACCACTTCCCACTCCACAAGACAAGTAAGAAGAAGGAAAAAAAGGTAAAAAAAAAACAGAAAGCTGATCACGACCCTGGAAACATATGGAGGCCACTCTCTCACACACCTAGACAAGAGAAGTGGGAAGAATGGAAGGGATGAAAAGGAAAGTGAAAACAAAGAGAGAAAGCTGATCTGGCCCCTGAAAACATGAGGAGGCCATAGCCTCCCTCAGGGATAACCGGCGGAATAACAGGGGCATAAAGTGTTAGTCAGGAAATAAGGAATGAAAGCAAAACATTTCTGAGCAGACTGAGAAGAAAAGGGTCAATGCACAAGCTGTTGCACTCGTGAGAACAGCGACACTTTTGTACTCTGTAATCAGTGTAATGTAATTACTAATTACTAATTTCTCACATAAAGTGCATTCAACTGGTGGCTTGACTGATTGAAGATAAACATTTCCGAAGTACTCAGGAAAAAACAGGAATGAAGTTAAACATTTGTGTGAAGTACTACCACGGAAAATGAATTTCCACTAATCACACTTTAAATGTCCTGCTACTTCAGCCTGCTCATCCTGTTCAAATGCCAATCATGCACCTGGCCATCTGCAGACATCAAGATTCCTTCTCAGTTCTGACAGAGGCATTCACAACAAGTAGGCCGTAGTACGGTCAGGTGCATTCCCTCAAGAACCCTTAAAACTTCTTGAGGAAATTCAATTATGTGTCCAACCGTCTTCCCCCAAATAGAACGTACGGTCATTGTGCCCGTATTTTGGCCAACTTTCAGTCCAGATTCAGGCATAATGACCATACGTTCTATTTGGGTGAAGACAGCAGCATCAAGATTCCTTCTGACAGAGAGGCATCGGCAACAGACCAGGAATAGTACTTAGGTATTCCCTCTTTTTTATTTCATTTTATTTCATAAAATACATTTTATTTCATAAAATACATTTTATTTCATAAAAAATGATAAAATACATTTTATTTCATTTTATTTCATAAAATACATTTGCAAGGAACATGAGCAATAGCGAGATGACAGAATCCAGATAACACGATCACATTGAAAGCCAGAAAGTCCCTCAGTGTCCAGAAAGTAGCATTGCACCAATAATACACCAACGGAGAATCGTAGCACTGAAACCGAATGTCAATAAGAGCTTACTCTCGTCTTCACCAACATAAGAGTCCAGGCCCTTCCCCCTACTTGGCGCTCGGCGCCAGACTACTCCCCACACAGCTACTATCTGCCTAAGAATTGACAATGCAACTGTTGATGTCAGCAGCCACCGAAGTGCATGAAGATGTCGCCCAATGCAGACCATCGCAAATACCAGGTATGAGCCCTCACATCACATCCTCATCTCTCTCTCTCTCTCTCTCTCTCTCTCTCTCTCTCTCTCTCTCTCTCTCTCTCTCTCTCTCTCTCTCTCTCTCTCTCTCGTCTGTCTCCCTTGTCTACCCTCTGTACACCCGAAGACCACCACTGCGCCTTGCTGTATGTCCAAGCCCAGCCAGCTATGGAAGCTGGGCTATGGCCATGCCCTCTGCAGCGCCCTTCTTCACACACGACCGCACGTGCACAGCACCTTGCCCTAGCACTAGCAGCAGCAAGCGAGCGTCCGCTCCAGCAGCGCTGCCGCAAACTGGCAAGTGCCCGAATGAGCTGCCAGGCAGCGAACTCTTTCCTATATTGAAAGAGTTTGGCCTGGCCTGCGGTCTGACTGGGCTGCACCTGCACCCAGAAGCTTCCGGTAGGCCCCAGGTGGCTGGGCCTCTGCTGCAGCTGCTGGGCCTCGTTCAGTTATGCCTCCAACTGTCTGTGTATGTTGCTGCGAATGTTGCCCAGGGCCTGCATTTCAGGAAAAAGGCCAGAAGGCCGTGCAAAGTATTTGCTGCTCAGGTCCTGGGTCCCCTCAACCAACTGACGCGACACAACTGCCTGAACCCCAAATACAAAATTGACAGCATTGGGCCCCTCTCGTAATTTGTTAGGCCCGCCTTCACTTACGGCAGGCATACTTGCATCACGGGCCCCTTAGGCCTGCCGAGGAGCCTTATCCTCGCACATTTTATTTCATAAAATACATGTTATTTAATTTTATTTCATAAAATACATTTTAATGATTTTATTTCATAAAAGACATTTTATTTCATTTCATTTTCTCCTTAAAAAAACGAACCCCATAACCTTCTTCTTTGGCAATTTCAATCGTATGTCATAGCTAACCAACGCCACGGGGAGCTGCATCGGAGAAGCGTCACTCTCCACAAAAGAGACTGTACGAACTTCAGTGCGAGCCGTATGAATGATGTGTGCAAGAAAGACGCACCATTCTGATCACAACAGACAGAACCAGAAGGTTCAATTTCCAACTTTTGAAAAGTTGAAAAGAAAAAGTTGGTAATCAGTCGTTACGGAGAACATTTTCTTCGATCTTTGACGCAGTCTTCGTATTCTATCTAACCTCTAGTGAAAACTAGAGATGATTGGAAAGGCCAATCAAACTCGGAGATGGATGATTGGGTTTTCAGCAAAATCTATTGAGGTAGAATGTGTGATCTTCATTTCATTGCAAGAGGTACAGCAAGAGTCACTCCAAGCAGGTAGACAAGTAAATAGTTTGCTTGCCCAGCTCAGCTTACCTATTGAACAAGTGCACATTGATGAAAGCGAACGTCTGGGTAAACAAATGCCTGATAAGGGATGGAGGTACCTGCATGAGCAAAGAGTAATAAACGGGTTCAGTATCTTATTCAAGTTCTGCATTGCGTGGCTTCCTCCTCCTCCTCCTCCTCCTCCTCCTCCTCCACCTTCTTCCTCCTCTTTCCTTCTCCATCTTCTTCCTCCTTTTTCCTCCTCTGTCCTTCTCCATCTTCTTCCTCCTCTTTCCTTCTCCTCGTCCCCGTCCTCCAAGGGATGGGGGTACCTGCATGAGCACAGCTAATAACCGGGTTCAGTATCTTATTCAAGTTCTGCATTGCCTGGCTTCCTCCTCCTCCTCCTCCTGCACCACCACCTTCTTCCTCCTCTTCCCTTCTCCACCTTCTTCCTCCTATTTCATCTCCTCGTCCCCGTCCTCCTCCATTCTCGTCCTGCTCCTCTTTCTTCCTTGTTCTCATGAGCTTTAAACAGAGGTGACTACGCAGTCAACATCAAAACCCCGACAGTTCACCAAGCGGGGGCTAATCATAGTTGTCGTTGTCGTCGTCATCATCATCCTCATCATTACCATCATCACTATCATCATCATTTTAAGAATGGGTCCGTTTTCCAAACACTCTTCTTCTTCATGTCCTTCTTCAAGTTCTTCTTCACGAATCACAACCTTGAAGCACGGATACGCCTCCACAAGCAGTCAAACAGCAAAATTAACTTAGTGTCGTCATCAATATCAACTTCAAATAACATGAACACCAATCCCTGCCAGTCCATAAGCCTGGGACAACTCACATTGCGCCTACCGTGTGACATGCTGCGGCCTCCCACACCGGGCTTGGGAGGCCTGGCCCTCTCTGCCTGCGGTTTGCCGCAAAGTTCTGTTTGACAATGAGGGTTCAGCCTCCTGATGGGTCGATAAAACTTTCGACGGAACAGTCTGCCACATCCCCTCATTTGCTGTCCTCTTCTCCCTCTCTGCCTACGGTTTACCGGGCAGTTCTATGAATGTATATGGATCGCATTCCGCCTAGGTGGCCCCATTTAGTTTCACTGTTTTATCCAACAGGGACCTAGGCTACCAGAGTGGCCCAGGAACACCGCCAGGCCGGGCCCAAAAAAAAAAAAAAAATAAAAAAAAAAATGGTAAAGAATTTCGATGTGACCCCGAGGCAAAAGTTGTCCAGTTTATTTTTCTGCATAACATAATATTAATTTGTTTTCAGAATTTTCAAATTTTGGAGTTTTTTTTTTTTTTTTTTGCTGGGACCTTCTACGGTCCTTGCACGACCGGGCAGCCGGGGCAAACACCATGTTGCGGATACAATTTCATGTTTTCGCCCAGCTTTTGTGAGTATGGCTCCCCGAGTTGAGATTTGTGGCTCATTGATTAGAGGTATGCCGTAGGAGAGGAGATCGAGGTGCAGGAGAGGCATGCTGCAGGAGAGGAGACAGTGGGCTTGGTACTGTCTTCTCATTGATTAGAGGCATGCTGTAGGAGAGGAGAATCTTGTGGTCTTGGTACTGCGCGAATGGTCCCACGAGCCTGTGCTGCCCTTCTGGAACACATGGATAGAAGGTGTGGCAGTGCTTTGGCTCTTGCGGAAGCTGTGGTGGGTCGTAGTTCGGTCTCCTTCGGCAACAAGTTGATGGCAGCTGGAGTGGCGTGGCGGAAGGAAGCGGTGCTCTTGCTGCGGCTGTGGTGGGTCGTAGTTCGGTCTCCTTCGGCAACAAGTTGAAGGCAGCTGGAGTGGCGTGGCGGAAGGAAGCGGTGCTCTTGCGGCGGNGCGGCTGTGGTGGGTCGTAGTTCGGTCTCCTTCGGCAACAAGTTGAAGGCAGCTGGAGTGGCGTGGCGGAAGGAAGCGGTGCTCTTGCGGCGGCTGTGGTGGGTCGTAGTTCGGTCTCCTTCGGCGACAAGTTGATGGCAGCTGGACTGGCATGGCGGAAGGAAGCGGTGCTGTAACTGGTTGCATCATCATCCTCAGGCTGGAGTAACGGCGGAGGAATGTGGTCATCATCATCATAGGTTGTTAGCACGGCTGTGATGGGGGAAATTTGTCATTCAGATTCTCCTTTGCCCTCTCCCTCTTTCCTTCCCCTTTGCTCCCTCCCCTCCTTCCTCACGGCCTCCAAGGTTTCTCCTTTTCTTTTGAAGAGTTGGAAAGAAGGAAGCGCGGCGGTGGTGGGGGAGGCAGGGGAGGGAGGAGAGGGGGGGGGGGGGGGGGGGGACTAAGATGAATGTAGGGTAACATTATGTTTTGAGGTGCTCCCACCTGTTTCTTTTGGCGGTGCTGTTTCTCCTTTCGTCCTTCCCCTCGTCCCTCTCTCCCTCGCCTCCTTCCCTTCCTTCGGCTTTTCCCCAAGGCTTCTCCCTTCCTTGCAAAGAGGTGGAGGAGGGATGTGGGTGGGAGGCAAGGGGATTTTTGTTTTTTTTTGGGGGGGGAGGGGGAGGGATGGGAGGGGCAAAGGAGGTAGGGGTGGCAAGAGGAGAGAGATGTTACAAGGGGAAAGAGAATTTTCAGGGTTGGGAATGGGGTGGTGAGGGGAGGTATTGATGGGAGCGTGGGTATGAGAATTGGGGGTTTGCATCATGTCGTTGAAGGAGCAGTAGCCGGAGACGGTTGCCAGTTTGTTGTATTGTAGGATTAGGGGCGCGTCGTGCCATCACCAGGAAATTTCGGAGAAATGGTAAAATATGGGTGAGAGTTTTTTCAGATATTCCTATTATCAGCAATTTTTTCCATTCCTCGGTGAAGATACCCTAAAAGATTCCCCACAATCATACTAAGTATAGCCAATATTTGTAAGATGGAATTACTACCGACAGTTGGATTTGTCAGCGCTTTGTGTGCAGGCAGTCTTGTCATTGTAGCACCATGGAGGAGAAGGTGGAGGTTGGGGAGAAGAGAGAGACAGGGTATTGGGTAGACTGGCATTCTTTGGCAGGATTTTCAAGGGCTTCTTCCGTCATCAAGGTTGAGTAGTGTTTAATAGGGTTTAATTTTTTTACAAGGTTTGTTAGAGGTTCCACTGGCTCTTGTCATTTCGGGAAAACAAGGTGACCCGGGCGGGCCCGGCTTGTTGCCTAGCCGGCAAGTCAAAAAGGTACATATACTGATGACGGACAATGGCCCCCTTCTCTTTTTTTTTTAAAAAAAGAAAAGAAATTTTAAAGCAATTAGTTAAATTGTCAATGCAAAAAAGACTAGTGTGAAAAGACCAAATTCTCACCCTCTTCTCTCGAAGGATGTTCATGTTCTCCGTCATGATCTTAATCATCGCATGCCAGTTGGTTGAACTTTGCTCTGATGAGCTTGGCTGCTTTGCGCTTCCACTGAAACTCCTTGTTCGCTTCGGAGCCTGGGAGAAGAGGAGAAGACAAAAGTCCAACACCTTATATATTCCACACACCCAAACGAAAAGCGAAACATTCTTCTTATCGGACCAGTTATGTACTATCCAAAATCTCTTGTTCAGCTTTTTTCTTCTGCTGTTTACCAAATTCACTCACTTGACTGCCTTCTATTTTGACCCTTTCTCTCCCCCTCCCCCCCCGCCCTCCTCCCCCCGCCCCCCTCCTCTCTTCCTTCTCACTCTTTCTTCCAAGAAGGAGATTGAGGTCCTATTGACTCAGTCCGGGGGGAAGGAAGGGCGGGGGGTGAGGAGGAACAGCTTGACATAAATCATATTTACTTTGCTACCTTTCACTTAAAAATTTCTACACTACGGAGCACCAAAATTTCTACACTACAGAGCACCGTTCGAACCCTGTGGGTGTGTTTCTTCTATATACTCTTACTAAAGTGTAAGCCGGGTCTGGCGTAACACTCCCACCAGGTTGGCCGGCCTTAGAGTGTTGAGAAAACACTTGGGACAGGGGGGGGGTGGGCCCAGCAGAAACCGCGCGACGTTTGGCGCGTTTGTCAAAGTTTTTGGGTGCATGTTCGAATACAAGTACATAGCTGAGCCACGGCGGGGACACTCACAGCAGGGTGCTTTTCACTCTGGACGTTATCTGGGGCAGATACTTTCTGAAAAGTGGGAGTGTGTGTGGGGATACTTCTGGATTTTTTGTCGTCGTTGTTTTCTTTTTGTAGTGTTGTGGGGAACTTGTGGCCAAATAAGTGGGCATGGCGTCAATGCCGCCTTTTTGGATATTTTCTTGTCATCAACTACCGTCTCCACCTGAAGAGAACGCCCAGTCATTATTGCCGTATTTGGTGCAAATTTTAGTCCAGATACAGCAATAACGACCGGGCGTTCTATTCGGGTGAAGACGGTAGTCAGGAATCTTATGTTCGGATAACCGACTCCTATAGTTTGGATGACTGGCTCCTACGGCGCCGGAAGGTTTGGAATTATTATGACTTATCCAATTGGACTGCGGAGGATGGAAACTCTTGGCCCTTGAGGACAAGAACGGTCGAGGAAAGAAAACGGAACAAAGCAGCGTACAAAACGGAACAATAGAGAAATGGAACAAACAGGGAGAAAACGGAACAAAATGGGACAAAAGAGAAACGGAACAAACAGGGACAACACAGAAACGGAACAAAACAGGACAAAAGAGAAACGGAACAAACAGGGATGGGGAACGAAACGGAACAAAAGAGGAGGGAATGGAACAAATGGGGAGAAAACGGAACCAAACGGGACAAAAGAGAATCGAAACAAACAGGGACAAACCAGAAACGGAACAAAACGGGACAAAAAAGAAAAACCGAATAAACGGGGACAAAACAGAAACGGAACAAAACGGAACAACACGGAACAATACGGAACAAAACTGGACAAAAACAGAAAGCTGAACTTGCTCCCCACGCTCACTGATGCACAGACCTAGATCATATACAACCTATGCATGAAACTTGAGGAGGGTTGTGACAAGATACAAGGCATGGACTATTTGGAAGGCTGGTGAAGGGGGGAAAAGACAACAGCCAACGATTCCGAGACATACACACTGCCTTGAAATTTTGAACCCGAAACAAACAAAGCGACAGAACATATTTTTTTTTGGGCAGAGGGTAGACAAGAGAAACGAACAGTCCATCGCGGGTCCTTTCTCACGAGAAACACACCTTAATGCATTGACTTATCACAGGGATCAGGTCCTTCTTTAGACTGTCCCTTAGAAGACCATACACCTTTTCAACAGAAGCTGCCAGCTGCTGTTTAAACAACAAGGCTGGGTACTTAGCTTCTCCACACCACGCATGCTCCATTGGTGGTTGACTGAAGCTTGCTCCCACAGCGCCTTTCGTGGAAACCAATGTTCCCCTCGGCATCTGCAAATCGCAGCACAAAAATAAAGTTTACTAAACCAATCAAAATGCAACCCAAACAAATTGAAAAAAAACAATCGACCACAGACGACGACGACAAGACAAACATAGACGAGCACTGATCCACACAAATCGCTGTCTGAGATTCCTGCAATTTCTGAGAAAGTGCTTTCGTTTTAATCTGTTTCGTAAAAAAGAACTCCGACTCTCCGACTATGAGTCTGTTCTGCTGTGATCTCACTGGCACTCCTATTACTACTAACCCCTCTATCTTTGAAGGGGCTTTTCAGGAGGGTTAAGCAGTTGTCCGGAATTGAGATTAGGATGTTATTGAGGTTGTCCGGCACGTTATGGCATCCTTTCATGGATTGCCTCAGTTCTCCCACTGTCTTCCATCTTCCTTCCGATTGAGACCAGAGATGCTTGATTTGCCATATTCCTTTTTCTACCCATGACTTCCACTTAAGATCGGCTGCTGTAAGAGTCCACGGTTTGCCCTGGGGACCTAAGATCCACTGATTGCAGAATATGGGTTGACGAAAAACTTCTTCCTTGGACTTTGGCTCCATTACCTTTGCTGGGAATATTTCCCTCCAGGTTATTAAAAGATTTCTCCAAAAATCCCGGGTGTGCCCCTCTTCTGGCTCATATGCCTTAGGATTTCTGCTGGTGGTTTCCATGGTCCAGGATTTTGACATTACCTGGGGTTTCCATGGTCCAGGATTTTGATATGATGAGTGAGGGTAGACCAGTACTATAGACCAGGAGGGAGAGAGAGAAGAAAGCAGACGAGAGAGGGGGAGGTGCGAGTTATGGTGATACTTACCAATTGAGCGCTGTTGTTGATGTTCAGCAGCTGGTGCTGGCTGAGCGCCAGGCCAGGGAACTCATGTTGATTGGAGAGGACTTGTGACTTTGATTGGCGCTGAACATTTGGACTTATGGTGTGCCCTCCCTGCTTCGGGTTTGTTAATTAATTAAGACTTCCTGGTTCTCATTCATCTCCTATTGGGCTTTGTGTGAGACGTCGCAGCTTGGGAAATCTGTGTGAATGCATTTCAGTTCTTCGGGCTAGATTTTTATCCTCAAACCTTTCTCGAACAGCTTTAAAGAAGTCTTCAATTCGCATTTGCTGAGAGAATTCCACCATGGAGGCGCAACCTGCTTCCTTTTGCAAGGAGATTGCGAAACTCGTAGCATCTCCAGCCATACACGAGCTGGCCATGAGGACTCGGTCCCAATATGGAATGCGCTGTCCATAGACATAAGATTCGACTGCCGCAATCCAATGTAAGACACTTTCTTCTTTCTTGCCCTTGTAAGTCCACAGTACTTTTACTTTAATTTTCCGTACTTCCCCTGCTTCTTGTTGTTGCACTCCCTTCTTCTTCTTGTCTCCATCTCCGCCATCTCCATCTCCGTCCCCTCCATCTCCGTCCCCTCCATGTCCTCCGCCGCCAGCTACTAGCTTCTTTACCACGACGGCGTTAGATAACCTTTTGCTTATTTGTTCGTCCAGTTTTTCTACACAGGCTATTATATGTTTATCCACTTCCTGTGCAGACCGCTGCAGGAAAGAGTTAAGAATCAGCATTTCAGTTCTTCGGGTGCCGGCTGCATGCTGCGCAAGCGCTGCTGCGCTATTTGCTGGTTGGCGCCTACGCGCTCACGGGCGAGCAGGGAGGGAGCAGGCAGCCATAGCCGAGCTGCGCTGCTGTAAGCTGGGTCATCAAGGAGACATGACCCTTGCTCAGTCTCAAAAACTGTGTCCAGTACCTGTTCGTGCAGGACCTGTCATAACCCTTTCAAAATGACTTTCTGTTTCATTATGGATGTGACTTTTCCCTCAAGAACTTTGTCTTTTGAGTTGCTGCTCGTGATTTTAAGCTCTGGCCGACAGAGCCCTTTGCTGTGGGGGTTTCCATTCGGGGTCAAATTCGTAAAGGCCCTTTTAGCTTGACTAGGAGATCAGTAAATAATTGAATGATAGATAAGTAGGAGGGTGACTTAATTGAGTAAAAGAATAAATACTTGGTCGCCCTATACTTGTCACTTGTGTGAACCTAACGGGACTCTCGAGATTCGATGGATGGTGATGGGATTGCGAGGGGAAAAAGGGGGGTGGGGGAGCGGGATGGAAGCTGGTGGAGTGCGTGGGTCGGCAGTGCGGAACCCGACTTGTTAAATATAATGGAGGTTTAGTCAGTACAATGCCTATCTTCTCTACTATTTTCCTGTTTTTGGCAGTGAGGAGGTTGGTGGGGGCGTGCAGGGGTGAGCGCTAGGAGGTGGGCGGGTCCGCGAGTTACTGCTATCTTTGGGCGAGAGTCTACCAGTGTAAGGCTTCGTTTCTTTCAGCAGGTTGGAAATGAGTAGGAACGGGAAGTGACTTCAGCCTAAGCGAAAGTGTTCGCTACTATAACTATGTTTCTAATGATGGTCGATCTCGACTCCTGTTTTACCCCCAGGTGTCTGGGCTGCTGCTTTGTCCTGATCGTATCACACTTCGGGAAAGGGTTACTGCCACTAGATCGCGGGTTTTTGTGCCACATCTACGTTTCCTGAGTTAGAGCTATCCCGAAGTCGCACGCTCTCCCCCCTAGCCTACCACCTTGGCAGATTCGAATTTGGATGGAAGACGCGCGTGGAGCTGCACATGTGGCGGTTTCCCACGGGAACCTAGTTGCCGCGACAGTTCGCGGACGTGGCTTAGCGCATTGCGGAGGCACTCGCCGGTTCGGCGCTAGCGCATCTCTCCCTGCCTTTTTACGTGCGATCTCACACTTCTGCCTTGCTGTTTTATAGGTTTTCTTAATTTTTTTTCCTTTCTTTTTTTGGGTTTTTTCTTTTGCAGTTAGTAACTATGGTCTCTACTCTATGACTTGGTGGCTATGGTCTCTACTCTATGACTTGGTGGCAAGTTTGGTTTAAATGACCCCTTGGATTTTGTTGTAAATTGCATGACAAGTTGTCTGAAAATTTAGGGCCTCCGTTAACCGCCTCTCGCGATACTCATAACTTCATCAGGAAATGATGGAATTGGTAGACATGCCTCTACTCCTTTCAGTCGACTAGCTTGTATGTATTCTATACGTACTCCAGAAAAAAGTAGCACAGAGTCTTCGTCCTAGTGATGACTCCTTTTGCCCTAGTGAAATAAATTCAAATAATTGACACATTATCTAACTACCAGATAGCGTTGAGCGAGTGGCTGGGCAATTGTTGCGTGCTTACCCGTTCCCGGCAAAGATAGGCACATTAAAAATAACTGAAATGAATAAATAAATAAAGGGACACATCCACCTGCGATGATTGTGGTCAGCTGCCAATACAAAATTCGCGAAGCGTCAATGCCATCTAATTGCAACGCAAGCAAAAGAAGATGGGAAGAAGAATGAGACAAAGGTCATGCTATGCTCCTGGGCCATCATTGCAACGGACCTTTCTGGGCCCAACAGAATTGCTGGAAAATCCCCTACCGGGTCCCTACCGAATTCTACTTACGTCCCTGGGCTCTGAAGTACCCCCAGTACGTCCTGCCGCTAACTTCTACTCCTGCCCCTGGCTCTCTCTATCCCTACCATCATTACCTACACGTATGAAGTACCCCCAGTATGTCGTGCCGCTAACTTCTACTCCTGCCCCTGGCTCTCTCTATCCCAGCCTTGTCTGTGGCATACTCAGGTCCACGCGGGCCCTGCTCAGGTAGGCTAGGGGTCCGTAGGTGTAGGGTCTGTATCGTTTTGACCCTTAGTAGGGTCCGCAGGGTCGGTAGGCCGGTCTTAGGCCTGAGTAGGACCGGTACCGGTGAGGGGCCCTGTAGGCCTCATTTCGGGCGCCAGACCCTGGCTTTGAGGCCGCACCGTTTTGGTAAGTGCTGGAGGTCCAGCCTCAGTTTGGGCGCCAGGACTCAGCCACTGAGGCCGACCCAGAGCTATATATATAGCTGGGCCCAGCCTCAGTTCGGGACATTCCGTAGAGGATCGAGGAGGCATACTTCGGACGACAGCAGGGCAGTAGTAGTCGACGATAGGACTAGTCTCCAGCGCTGGGCGCTGATAGAGTAGAGTAGCGCAGGAAGGGAGAGATGGTGATGGCGGCCTGAGGACTTACCTGAGATTGCTCCAGCTTCGTCTTCAGCACGGCCGCACCTGCATCAAGGCACCACCTTTCGCAGGTCAGTACTTGGTATACAGAGAGAGAGGGATCTTCTTCTTCCTCTTCTTCCTCCAGTCCACCACCTTCTTCTTCCCCTCCCAGCGCTCTGACTTCTTCGGCTGTGTGTGTGTGTGTGTGTGTGTGTGTGTGTGAGAGAGAGAGAGAGAGAGAGAGAGAGAGAGAGAGAGAGAGAGAG